CATGATGTAGATTTACACTGGCTACATAGTAATATATGGATATAGGGTAATAAAGTCTCATTCATTCTACTACTCTTCCTAAATCTATATCTCTCCCATCTCTTTATTCCCCTCAACCTAATCTAAATTAACTCTATTCTTCCCTAGCCACCCTCTCTTATTGTGAATTATCAGAAGAAAAAAAAACCGCCTTTGGTTGTTTGGGATTGACTTATTTTGCTTAGCACAATATTCTCCAGCTCCATCATCCATTTACCTGAAAATGCCATAATTTCATTCTCTCTTAAAGCTGAGTAGTAGTCCATCATATATACATGATGGAAAGTGATATGTATATACTGAACATATATTTCACAGAATAAGAGATACAATTGATACATTTGTGATCATTCATATATATATATTCATCTGTTGAAGTACATCTAGGTTGGTTCCATAATTTAGCTAATGTGAGTCGAGCTGCTATAAACACTGATGTGGCTGCAACACTGCAGTATGTTGATTTTAAGTTCTTTGGGTATAAACTGAGAAGTGGAATAGCTGGATCAAATGGTGGTATCATTCCAAGTTTTCTGAGGAATCTCCATACCACTTTCCATAATGGTTACACCAATCGCCATTTGTACCAGTAATGTATGAGTGTACCTTTTCCCCCATATCCTTGTCAAAATTTATTTTTGTTTTTATTCTTGATAATTCGCATTCTGACTGGGGTGATATGAAATCTTAGAGTAGTTTTGATTTGCATTTCTCTAATTGCTAAAGACGATGAACATATTTTCATACATTTGTTGATCGATTGTATTTCTTCTTCTGTGAAATATCTGTTCTGTTCCATTTATTGATTGTGTTATTTGTTTGTGTTTTTTATGTTAATTTTTTTTAGAATTTCTTATGTATCCTGGAGATTAACACTATATTTCAGGTGCATGTGGTAAAGACTTTCTCCCATTCTATAGACTCTGTTTTCATGTTATTGATTGTTTCCTTTGCTGATAAGAAGCTTTTTAGCTTGAATTCATCCCATTTATTCTTTTTTTTTTTTTTTTGAGAGACAGAGAGAGAATTTTAATATTTATTTTTTAGTTTTTGGCGGACACAACATCTTTGTTTGTATGTGGTGCTGAGGATTGAACCTGGGCCACACGCATGCCAGGCAAACGCTCTACCACTTGAGCCACATCCCCAGCCCAACCATTTATTGATTTTACTTCTTGTACTTTAGGAGTCTTGTTAAGGAAGTCAGATCCTAAGCTGCCATGGTAAAGATTTGGGCCTACTCTCCCTTCATTAGGTGCAGGGTTTCTGTTCTAGTGCCTAAGCCTTTGATTCACTTTGAATTGAGTTTCATGCAGGATCAAAGATAAGGGTTTAATTTCATTTTGTTACATGTAGCTTTCCAGTTTTCCCAACAACATTTGTTGAAGAGGATATATTTTCTCCAGTATATGTTTTTGGTGCCTTTGTCTAGTATGGGATAAATGTATTTTTGTGGGTTTGTCTCTGTATCATTGGTCTACATGTCTGCTTAACTAAATATTGGTTTTGATTAATCATAATTTTAGTCAGTAGCTCCTTTATCATTTTACATTAATTTTACACAAATGGTAGATATGCATACTATAACTTCTATATAGGGAATTTGTGCAAATGAAACTAAAGGCCAGGGAAAGTAGGGGCTCTAGAGGTGGGGAAATTTTGATTAATGTTTTCTGCAGTATATTTAATAGGAGCAAGAAGCTTTGATGCATTATTAAACAACAGAGTGATTATAGGTAACAAAATATGGTGTGCATTTCAAAAAGCTAGGAGGAAGGATTTGGTAATTTTTACCATAAATAAACAATAAACTTTACTTAAACATTATGTAGTGCATGCATATATTGAACATTACATGGTCCCCCCCTAATATCTACAAATTTATTTATTTTTTATCTGACAGTTAAACATAAATTTAAAGAAAATAAAACCCTCATACACACTGAAAAAGAAAGAATAAAAGAGAAAGTGGTACCTCCAGCCAATTGACAATCAATCAGAATACTTTTTTTTAATTCCCTAAAACAACTTCCTCCTTTTAGAAATGTTCCTTCTATTTCTCTTAAATACTGAGTTAGGCCTTAGTAAATGATTGTATCTCTAAAAGATGAGATTTAGAAGTAACTCTACCCAAATTTAAGTCATATATGTATGTGTGTGTATGTGTGTGTATATATGTGTGTGTGTGTGTGTGTGTGTGTGTATTCTCTTTCTTCAGGCTTTACTACATTCCTGATTTTGTCAGGAATAAAGAAATCCTGTAGGCTAGGCAGGAGGGGATTGGATACAGGAAATATGTGGATTACACAATCATTGAAAGGCTTGGGCTAGGGAAGATCAAGAAGACATCTTTTGGCTCTTAGGAAATGCAGAACCACAAAAGGAATAGGAAATCTAACTTTGAAGATTGCAGCTACCTGACATTTTTACATGGACATTTTTGGTGAGGACAGCAGGAAACTGTCATTTGAAGCCATGGTTCTGAAGCTTACAATATCCACGAATCTGTTCATAATTTCTGCTAGTCAATAATTTCTTATGATTCTCTTCAAACTTCCAGATCTTACAAGATTATGTCTGATTGGAAGAATCTAAACTGTAGCCCTGTGGGTTAAAGACACTGTAAGGGGCTAGGGATGTAGTTCAATGGTAGTGCACTTGCCTAGCATAAGTGTGGCACTGGGTTCGATTCTCAGCACCACATAAATGCAAAATAAAGATATTGTGTCCACCTAAAAAAACTGAAAAATAAATATTAAAAAAAGATTCTGGAAAATTTAGATCTAGGACACAGGAGTAAATGTGTATTTAAGAAATAAAGTTGATAAAGGCCATTCAGCAACCTTTGGAGAGAATAATTAGAGAAGAAATGTTTGTAGAAGTTTAAGATATGTATAGATATGAATATCCTTTCCTAATCTTTTCAGGGTAATAAAATAGAAACTTATTTTTTTCCTATTTATCTGAACCAACACTTAAATAAGATTTTAGTATTTTAAAATACAATATTGGAAAGTCAAATCTGTTTCCAATGCAGTTAGTATCCCGTGAGTTCAGAGTATGACCCCTGATAGGTGGCATAACATATCATAAACAGTCTAGATAAAATGACTTCATAAGGCCCATAGATTTGTGAGGGAGATAAGGAAATAAAACATATTATTAAACATCCTAATGCATAATGAGGGAAAAGTGTGTGCGGGGTAGCATAGGAATATGCTAGCTAGGTGCATTTAGTACCAAATGAATGAGATTCAAAATAGTATTCACATCATGAAGCTGATTTGGCTAAATGCAACTTAATTTTGTTACATTCAACTAAATAATGAACTGATTGATTTGTAACTGGAGCCTTGCAAGCAAAAGCTCAATTTGTATTCAATGGCAGACATTTTCAGGATTATAAAATTAGGAAAATTTAAGACTACATTGATTATCCTTTCATCAAGGAGCTTAAGATCTCTAATCTTCTCACAGACCCTACCCAGTAGGACAGATTAACTCTCTTATTCTTATACAGACCTGTTATTATTAGCACCATACACAAAGTAGGGATAGTCATTTATAATCACAATCAACTAACTTTCACAAAGCAACTATATTGTCCTAGACAGCCAGAGACACTATAATGAATATCTGTTTAATTCTTTGACATCAAGGACTATAAACAGTACATGACAGTGCTATGTATATATGTGTGTATGCACCTGTGCTTGTATTACTAACAATCTACCAAGTCTCCCCTCTAATTCTGTTGTGACTTCTAATCTAGATGAAATTATGTTTCTTATTTACTTTCAGCTATCTGCTGAGATTACAGCTATTTCCATTTTACATTTCAAACATAAGGTTATTGCTCTACATTGGACCTGCCATGTACTTATTTTACTAGTAAAAGGAACAATTTTCTGTATTATAATTCTTAAAATTACGATTCATAGAATTATAGTCATAAGTGAAAATTTTGTACTTGTTCAATCTCCATCAGAAGTTCTAGGCATTTTAAAAGCTAACAATATCCTGGGGGATTCTTATTGTTACTTTAACATTTGCAAGTCACTAGACCTCATCATCTCTTCTACAGTTTCTCTCAGATATTCACTACTGGGACTGTCTCCTTATACTACATTACCTGGAAACATATGCTAAACTGGGGCACTGTCAACAGAGTTTTATTAGGAAGAGCCCTGAGCAGAACTATGAGGAAAGGTATGAAGTGAGGGTGCTGAAGCAAGAAGCTCATTTGTGGAGTGTGAACCTCTTGGAGAGCTGGTACTTAGATAGCTCTTGTATGATATCACAGATCAAGGCAAGGGGGCTAACACTTTGTATCCCTGCATCAACTGATCATTCTTAGCATTCTTCCCACATTGCACAAGAGAGTACACAGCCTGGCAGGCCTGTGTGATCAGTCCCCACTGAAAACCACATCCCTCACTTCTGTAAAGATTTCAATGGAAGAAGAGTCCTGGAAGATTGTGCATGTTTTCCCCCTCCCAGTTCCTCCATGGATTTTACCCAGACTGCAGTTTTGCAGTTTCCTTTGTTGATTTTTTCTTTTTATCTTATGTTGTAATAAATCATAGCCATAAAGATAACAGCATGCTGTGTCCTCTTCATAAATCATCATTCTGGGGGTGGTCCTAGGACCACAGAACAGAAAAGAGTTTAAATGTGCACATGCCAATTCCCTGTGGCAGAGGACAATTCCCTATGAAGAGACAGCTTTGAACAATTAGCATCCAAAATCGTTAACTGTGAAGAGCATAAGTTTTCCAGATGCAAAGATGGGATCCAGATGGAAAATCATTGTTAAAGTGAATACCTTTGCCCCTCAGAGCTACAGGCTTCTGCTGTGAAGTGTGCTCCATCTGGGAAGAACTTTTACAGAATTCCAGGTTGTCTTATTTCCTAGAGCTCTAAAACTAAACAGGTTACTATGATGGAATCACAACCTCTACTGCTACAACTAAACTCAAGGGCATATCAAAGATTCATTAAAATCTGCTTGCTCCCTTTCCGAAAACCCAAAGATCCTATTAGCACCTTTGCTTATTTGGGCACTTTGCTTGGAGGATGTCTCCCAGAATTCACCCTGAATGTCCTGGAACACGTGGTACTATGTCTTTCTCAAACCATGCCTAGTGAAATATCCATGTCCCTGTAAAACTGGGCATAGGACCAACAAGAGATTCATTGGTAGGTCATCTGAGTCCTACTCATATACTTTGTTTCCATCATATAATAGCAGTGTCACCTCATCCTTATGACTAGGAGAAATCATGCATATTAGTAAATCAACTTTTGTCTGCTGCTTTTTTTGTAATAAAAAGGCAAGCATAGATAATACAAATGGTTTTCTGGGAGTTACAGTGAGTGGAACCACTTTTACTTGTAGCCTTTGGCTCCCATGCCTATATATATTACATTCTTGAAGTTTTTGAGGCATAAAACATTTGTTGAGTTGGGATGCATATGATATCCTGGAAGATAGTATCCAGTACTACCAGGATATCCTTTGTTATTCTATTTCTCAACTGCATCTTGAAAACACTATTGTTCCTTTCTGTTAAGATAAAAGATTCTAGGTGGGCTGATAGGTTGAAAAAATATGTGGATATATAATTCATGATTAGTTTCAAGTGTTATTTTCATATAAACCATATTCCTTGTTCCCATGAATTGTTAAATGGGACATTGTGCAAATGGAGTGAGGATGCTTATGTTTTCTTATGGTTATGCCAACCAGGTCTCTGTAGAAAAGAAAAAAAATAATTGAGGGGTCATTATATATGTCAATACCAGGCAAAGTGAACTACTACCTTCCCCTATAAAAAAGTCCAAATATTGTTAACTTCTACCAAGTGACTGGTTGTTTTTCTTTAACTAAGGTCTCATATTGGAGGCTCAGTGTTGATCTCTGAGTGGTAGTTTGAGTAGTGTCAGTAGCTAGATTATACAAGCACAACCACATTTTTTTTCTATATAAAACATCTATCTCTGCCACAGAGCTTCTCCATTTGTGCACCCATTGTTTCAGCACTGAGGTGAGCAATGGCAGCAGTGACTATGGATATTTCCTATTAAGGTAAGACATGACCCAGATTTCTTTACTTTATATGTTTACTCCCATAAGTTCTTATGCATGCTTCTTCCCCAGAAATTTTCTTACCAATTTTCCAAATTTTCTTTCTCTTTGTGTTAAATAAGGCAGGTTCTCTGTCACTACACATGAACTGACATATGTTCTTAATATAGGTTAAAATTCTTTCTGTACAAAGTGGATATCAAACCACATCCCCTAAGACTATTCCCATTAAGGTGATTGCACATGCCTGGTCTCCTGATAATCTTCCCTGAGAGGAGATATAGGGAGACACAGCCTGATTTTGGTTACTACTTGCATGTATTGACCTTCCTCACCCATGATCCTGAATATACCACTTTATCTTATCATCCATTGCTACAGAATAGTCCCATCTTGTAATATGATGGACAAGAAAGAACCCAGCATATATAGATTTGTGCTTCAGTTTGTGGCTTTGTTTTAGCATCCTAAGTTTCTATATTATTGCTTATTTTTTCTTTTTATCAATAATTGATACCAATTGCATATAAAATCCAAAGATACCTGCTATAGACCAGTGACTGATGGATCACATAGCCTAAGAAAAGTTCAGGAACGTAGCATGGGCAATCTGCAGGGTCCTTTCCTCTCTGCACAGCCTGCAAGGCTGCAGGCTTCTATGCCCTCCCCTATAATCCTGCATATGAAAATCATGGTATCCACTAAATCTGAAAAGGCTTACCAAGAATTATACTTCATTCTTAGTGTTGGATTAGAAAACCCAATTATATCTTAATTTATCTGACTGAAATACTTCACTGATAAGGAAGGATCTTAAGTCCTTATAATATTTACCTCCCACACAATCTGAAGTTATGTATGTCTATCCCTTGTACAGTACCCTTAGCAAATTATCACATAAAATGCTTGTGGTTTCTGATGGTACTGATTGGCGAGGTTCTTCTGTTTATTTGCATGTGGTCTTTTTTTTTTTTTAATTTAGCTGCAGATGAACACAATACTTTTATTTTATTTTTATATGGTGCTAAGGATCAACCTCAGTGCCTCATATATTCTAGGCAAGTGCTCTACCACAGAGCTACAACCACAGCCTTGCATGCAATCTTTATTCTTGCTTTATAGATACAGAATATCCTCAGTCAATTTTTATTCTTACTTTATAGATACAGAATATCCTTAGTCTGTTTGTCACAAAAATAGGTTGATATAAATCCTGAAGGAAAATAGTGTTTTGTAAGGCTCTTGTCTCTCCTGGGACTTCTGGTGTGTCTTCAAGAAGGGAGGCAGTATCATTGAATACAGAGATATGCTTCACAATTGGAGTACAGAGGTTCAGAGCTAAGGTTCTCAATCAGAAATTATTTTTAGGCTTCTTAGTGAGTGCACATTTTGGTATATCTAGAGACATTTTTAATTATCATAGCTGAGGAGTGAGATACTGTTCGCATCTACTGAATATGGATCAGAAATTTTACTCAACATCCTACAATGCACAGGGCATCCCTCTACAGCTAAGCATAATCAGGTCCAACATGTCAAAAATGTAGAGGGAGAGCCACCTTGGTACAGAGGAGTATGAGAGCTCAATTCATTTTCTGTATCCATGCAGATATTTCAAATCTCAGGGGCTTACTCCTTCCTTAATAGAGACCTGACATTGGTATAAGAATCTTACCTGGTTAAGGTTTTTGTTCTTTAAAATTTTACTACTTTTGTGATTATGTTGAAACCTATTTTTCTAATTTTATTCACCTTGTGAGAAGCCATATATAGAAGATTCATTAGAGTTTTCTTAAGTGATAATCCTGAAACATGCAGTTGGTCAGAGGAAGAAGCTTACCTGCAATGTGGTTGCAACTGAGACTCCAGTCAGGATGAGGATCCCTAGAACTGAAAAGCTCCTAAAAGACAGAAATGGCCCAAACTAAGTCAAAAATTTAAGACATTTATATTCCCACGTGGAACTGTCAATTGTTAGGGGCAACACTTCTGAACCAAAATGTCACTTTGGAGAAAGCCGATTGCTTGTGAGAAACGTACCTGTGAGCCATCAGCAGCAGTTATTCTAAGAAGTTGTATAATGAAGTGTCAGTTTTGAAGAGAGAAACTGTCCAGAACACTAAAATATTTATCAGAGACATGGAAGTGATTGGGACACTGCACCAGGGCAGAAGAATTCTGAAACCTAAATAAATAATCAAGAAAGAATGGAAGTGAAAATAAGTAAATAACTTTTTCTATTTAGAATCTAAAGCATCAAATGAAGACAAAAATAAACAAATGACAGGGGTATTCAGAACTATTACTTAAGTAGAAGAAAAGGAAAAAGATGCAGATTAATAAATGTTTGCTGAGAAATGTCTATGTGTCAGGCAGGGAGAAAGGCAAATGAGCCAGGAATGGTGGTGCTTGCCTGTGATCCCAGCAGCTTGGAGGCTGAGGCAGGAGGATCTCAAGTTAAAAGCCAGCCTCAGCAATGTATCAAGGCCCTAAGCAACTTAGTGAGACCCTGTCTCAAAATAAAATATATATTTTTAAAAAAGGGTTGGAGATGTGGCTCAGTTGTTACGCACCCCTGGGTTCAATCCCTGGACTAAAAAAAGAAACAAGTGAATGGCAAAGACTTGATAATTGCTGCATGATATTAAAATTATGTTATTATATATTGTATTAATTTTTTATAAGCATATTATATTGATATTATATTTTATTATATTCAAATTATATTACCAAGAACGTTATAAATGGGCTGGGACTATAGCTCAATGGTAGAGCACTTGCCTAGTACTTAGGAAGCACTGGGGTCGATCCACAATACCACATAAAAAGATGTGTCCATCTACAGCTAAAAATAATAAAAAGAAAATTATAAATAACAACATAATTATAAGTTATATTGATGATCCTTCTCTTTAATTTCAGATAGAGATACATTTTTAAAAAGAAAACTTTACAGTGTACCAGGTGGTGTCAGGAATTATATATCTCTGTTGTTATGGAAAACTATGTTCTCCACCCACTCTGTTGACCTCTTTTTAAAGATTCTGCCATATGTCTTTTTCAAGTAGATTGGTGACTGAGCAGCGAACAAACAACAAGGAAAAAAGGAATTTCTAATTTGATGTGATGAGTTATAATTTTGGTTGCTTAGCCATCTTATAAAAGGAAGTACGTCATGTTTTCATCTGGTGTGATCTCTTTAGAAGAAAATTTATTTCTAGTTTGGAAAATGATGCTTCAGTATTGATAATTCTTGATTGTAATATACACATTTCTTTAATCATGTCAATATTAATATATTTCCTAGTTAAGATATTTTAATCTTTGCTAATACCCTCCAAAAAATTATGAAAAGCATCTATGACAAATTTGATTAGAGATGCCATCCATAATTATTTTCTTCTATGGTGTTTGGTGGATTATTGCCACTTTTTCATGCTCAGCTAATTTTATCGTTCGTTCTACCTCACTTTTCTGAAACTTGATCTCTATATTCATTAAATTCACCACAATGGGATTATAAAACATAAAAAATTTCATTCAGTTACAAATTTAGATTTCTTTATGAATATTAGGTATATCTTTTATAGTTGTTGAAAGTTTGGAAATAAAATCTATAAAAATTCTATGACCAACTGCTGTGTAGTTTTAGTGTTTTATAATTTAATACATTTAGTTTAGTGATTCCCAAACCAGGGCAATGCCCCTTTCTCCACGACACACACATATGACAAGGGACTTTTGACAATATCTGCACAAAGTTTTTATTGCTACAGCCATTATAGGTGCTAGGTCTAGTGGTTTGATGACAGAAATGCTACTAAGCATCTTACAAAGCACAGAGCAACTCTCCACCAAAGTCTAATAAGTGCAGAAGTTGAGATCTGTTTTAGAAACACTTATGTTATTAAAATAATGAAAAAAATTGAAAAAAACAATGGTAATATAATTAGTAAGTGAATCTTGATAATCATCTCCCTATTGAAAAGTTTTAAAGATTTTTTGTTTTATTTTTTAATGTTTTCAACCTATTGCTTTTACAGTATATTGAGTTTATTCTGTTAATAATATTAAGAAACATGATTTATACACCAAATTCCAATTTAACTTGTGGATATGTTTGAAAACATGATTTTTTGAAGTTCAAGTCTCTTATCCATTTTAAAATGCACTAAAAACATTGCTTAACCTATCACTTAACTTTAATTTTTGTTTTCATTACCAACATATTAGAATTCAAGTTTCATTCTCCAAAGTATCATTTTCATTCTTGAACTAGCATTAAAATATATTATTAATGCTCGGTTTATGTGATAAATACTGCATTCAAACTAATTTATAAATAGTCAAGTAGACCAAGAATGAAAATTAAAAACAAAATGAAATAATAAATCATCCCATTAAGGGGAGGCATATGGTGGTATACAGAAATTTCTTATTACCTAAGGTTCATAAATAAGACAACATATTTGAGGTTGTATAACATATGAAAATAGAGATTTCCCCTTAATTTGAATATGACAAGGAAAATTGCCACTGAGTTGTGAAAATTACTTTCTTTAAAGCTCAACTATGCTTATGTTTAGTTTGATTAATTCCTCTTCATATTTTCAGTCAGTTTCATTCCAGAATTTCCCTGAACAAATTTCTTCTTTTCCCTTCCTTTAAAACAAAGTTTACATTTATGGAACATATTAGTGTATACACATTTCATCTGGCATATTATCAGATTAAATTCTGCTTAAACATTTTTGTGAGGAAGATTTTCTCAGACAATATTTTTTTTCTATTTTAAAGAAGGAAACTATACATAAATGAATCTATTCCTTTTATTTTTATGAAGTAGAATACTTAAAACAATCAAATCCTCTAGAAAAGAATATACTTTTCCTAGACATAGCCAAATTTTCATTAAAAATTCAAGACTATATTCTGATTAATATCCTTCTTTTCATTTGAGGACCTTATTTCATTATGAGGACAAAAGAAAGAAAGAAATGTTGCAAAAATGCCCTGTATTTTGATTCTATAAAGGTGGACATACTGCCTAAGTTTTTATTTTAGCTGATGTTATTTTGCAAATCAATGCGAAAAATTTTTAAATAAACATTGATTAATAACCTTTGATATCTAATATGTTTGGACGAAGAACAGTAGCATAAATGAACTATAATTAGAATTCTTAAGTTTTGTCTAAGAAAATCCTTTAAAAAATGAGTGACTGCATTGAACTGTCATTTTTATGCCACTATAAATTGAATAATCTGTTTATTGTTGGTACTCAAAATACCTTAACTATTAAACCAAATACAAGATGTTAAAAAATGTGACAAAAATCATAGTCAATTGCACATGGAAGACATGAAGAAGAAAAGAAGGTAGTGAATTTGCCATTAAAGCATAAGTCAATGTTTAGTGAAACAATTTTGGCCTGCAGGGGAGAATTTATGGCTTTTATGTTTCTGCCTTTTTAAAGACTTTTTCTCTTATTTGAATGGACCAGAATCAACCCAAAGAATAATACATTGTAACTCATACTAAGTAATATAGGAGGGGAGGAATACTTCCTTTGTGAAAAGAAATGAAGTTAGAACCTGTATGGTTATCTGGACAGGGTTTTCTCTCAGGTTACAGTGGTTAGAAATGCCGAGCTTCTTACATTTCCTCATTCCAAGAAAGTCTGGGATTGATAAGAAAAACATGGTCTTTTTAGTTGTTGGGAGAAAAAAAACGTGCTTACTAGGAAGCTGGTTTTACTAAGTGGAAAATTCTATAGAAAGTCAGGATTGAGTTTGGAACTGGGTAAACAAGGAGAGTGATGTATTAAGAGGTAGTTTTTTCGTTCTTCACCTAGACTGCCCAGTGGAATTTCTCAACTAAGGTAAACAGTCCATGAGTCTGGGCAAATCCTAAATTCTTTGTCTGAATGCAAGTCAAAGTTAGTTGTACACTCTATTATGTGTTATATTTCTCTCAGGAAATTTTGAGATTATAGGAAATTGGTTAAAAATTCAATTCAATTCAATTAAAAAAACCCCAACATTTTCCAACATCAGTTATCTTAAGAATCTTCCCTTTTTCATTATTACTGAACAGATGAAGAATGATTGTGAAGCCTCTTTGTTAAGTACTTATATGTGTACATATGTATATATATATATATATATATATATATATATATATATACACACACACATATATTTGGTATTGTTCTTAATAAAATTATGTAAAAGGCAAAAAAACCCCTCTAGAATTAATGATAGTTAATACATAGTTACATAGATCCAAACATAGGTGAAGGACAAAATTTAGAAATGCTGAAAAAGACATTGATGTCAGTATGTAAGCAGGTGTTTAAACACATGCCTAATGAGACTATTCTGTTCCACATTTATTCCTACAGAGAGGTGGCATTATGCATGTGTTTTGAAGGAGAACCTAATCTGGGATATATAAATAATATATAGTATAGTCAGGATGTGAAAGAGTATTGAGGAATCAGACGAAAGCAAATTAAATGAAAAGTAATGGGAATAAATGTAAAGAATCACATTTGGTTTCAAAGAAACAACTTCAGAAATATGGAGTGAAGCAAATAAGTCTTAACACTGGTATATGCAAAAAATATATGTCAGTTCTAGGTGCATGAAGCATTTATAGGATTCTGTTGCATGCTGCAAAAAATGCAAATTTGATCTTAGACTCTATTAACATAAGTACAGAATACAGAGTAGGGAATTAGATGATCCTATTGTAACCTCAAACTTAGAGTGCATTTAGGGTAAAAAATCCAATTTTCATGCTAGATTTTTTGTTGGTTTTGTTTTTAAAGAAATGTCATCTTAAAATAGAATAAGTTCAGAAAAAAAGGCCAGTTTCAGAAAATGCTTTAATAGGTTAGTAAATACTATGAATATATCAATAAAATAAAGTAATAACAGATTTTAAACATATTTAAAATATTTTGCTTTAGAAAAATATATTGTAAATATGTGACACAATTCCAGAAGCAATGGGTGAAAGAAAAGGAAAACAAAATTAAGATAGAAGCTTCACATTAACATGGAAAATTTTAAATATTCATTGCAATAATGGGGAAGACTCTGTTAATTTGGTTTTTAAGGTAGCATGTGAAAATTGGTATTGAAATTTTAAGTACATTAATATAGGAAATGCCTGTGA